CACCCCTCCTCCCCCCAAAGCACAAAGCACTAGTTAATGATCGTTGTCTCAATGTGCTTCTCTTTACTCAAACCCAAAACTCTCTGTCTTCCACAGAATGCTTGAACTCATGTCGTGGGGCGAGATTGTCGAGAACCTCAGGTCAGAGGGCAACTTCAAAATGGCCGCAGTCTTTGATCTGAACGCGGAGAAAATCGCCGAGTCTGAAGGCGCCGTATTGACCTGCGAGGAAGCTGAGATGATCCTCAAATCGCTGGACCATTTCTCTACCATGATCTACGGTCTTTTCCTCACGGGGTTAAAGTTCAGCTGCATCAGTGTTGACAGGGACACTATCCTCGGACAGGGAGATGGGAATGTGTTCGTTGGCTACAGAAGAGGGGACTTGCTGGTGTGTGCGGTGTCTGGGCTTAACTCGAAATCCTCTTGTCTGGGAACGGTGAAGAATTTTGTTGGACGTCTCGTGGCAAAGGGGGTCCCGGAGTTGGCTGTGCCGTGTTTGAGTATTTGATGAGATGTGTTCCAACATTCCTCCTGTGAGTTGATGAATCAGAAAACACCACGCAATGATGATGTGTCGCTGATGTACATAATTTAGATCCTGTGCTCAAGGACTGCAAGGAATTTCGAGCTCAAAAACAAGCGCAAATAACAGAAACACGGACTGAATGAATATTCTTTTTGCAGAAACCACTATTTTGCAGGCCGTACTTTTATCTATCTTCTTTTTACTGACATTTCATTTGGATCGAAATGTTTAACGCATGTACTTATCTTCGTGTGTTGGTGACTTACAGAACCTGGGACTTATCATTTAACCTTCTGACTGGGAACGAGGCAGAACTTTGTTGGGCGTGTCGTGGCAAAGAGAGCACCAGAGGTAGCTGTGCTGTGTTTGAGTATTTGACGAATAAAAGATAATGTGTCGCTGACATGGGCAATTTAGACCCTGTTATCGTCAGTACCGAGGAATTTTTAGCTTAAAAACAACAGTATGAAACAAACAAGAATTACTGACTTGTAAACCCGATCTTTCTCAAGAAACCCCATAAACAATCAGTGTCTAACCTTCTGATGGCTGAATTTCAATTAGAATCGAAATTTGTATTACGTTTACCATTTTTTTGGTATGTTAATGGGACAGAATGTGATGAAAGAATGGTTGTTGATACTAAAAAAAAGAGCTGTTTTTGTTTTTCTTTTGAGTATTACGTATAACTCTAAGAAGTATAGGGGTTTATCTCCTCTAAAGTTAGGGGGGGGGGAATTAAGAACCCTATTGTTATGAAGTGGCAGTTATTTCCTCTTCATAAAGTAGAGGAATCTCGAAGGAAGAACCCTACCTATATTATCATAGCGTTTTCGTTGCGGAAACTAGTTAAATTCACTTTCTTCGGACAGTGCCGTGCTTGTCCATAAAGGAGCATGTGTAATGTGTAGTCAGAGGGTACAGAACAGTGATGGAAATTGTATTTGGGGAGAAACGACGGATCAAGTATAGGACTAATTCACAATGTTGCCATTTGGTGCCAAGAAAACCTACTAAGTCGTCAGCGGAAACCATATCTGCTACCTCTCTTTTTCTCTTTCTATTTCTCTCTGTCTCTCTCTGTCTCTCTGTCTCTCTCTCTGTCTCTGTCTCTCTCACTCTCTCTCTCTCTCCCTCTCTCCCT